CGGGTGCCTTTTGTAGAATACACTTTTATACCAACTAAAAATGCCGGTTCCGACCGGTTCTTTTTTGAGGAACACTAGTTTTGGTTATACAATCTTTATTTTTAAGGCAAATGTTTTTTTTTAATGTCTCGCTCATATCAAACAAAGCTACCGATTTCGTTTGCGTTTAGAAAAGATACTTGAATGGGATACCCCCTCAGAACTAAAGCTATCGGCTTCGTTCAATGCAGAAAAGTGATGACTTAACAGGGTTGGCAGAGAATGCGTGATCAGGAAGTTACTTATATACACATCCTACTCTCAGCATCCATCATGCGGCATACGGTGTTGTTGGTATTAGCCACGCAAAGTTAATTTTTCGTTTTGCATTACATGGGATCTGAAAAATTGGGCCAGTCGGTCAGATTTTTTTTTTCTGCATCCATATCGGCTAATTTCGGGAAACTAAGGTCTCCGTCAGGTGAAACCGGTTAAATGACAGAAAACAATCGACACTTAAAAAATTTTTTGAAAATGGGTCGGGGTAATGCAAAACGAAAAATCAACTTTGCGTGGCCTTATAGTGGCATCTTCCATGGATGCTTTCTCACGTGATTCCAAAGATGTGACCACAATGACAATAAACCAACTTCCTCGATATATCCTTCTTGCAGTCGTCAATAGTCGAACTGGAGCCCTTTCCCATTTTATTCTACCATAATGTTCATCTAACGGCAGGAGGATGGATAACTAACTAACGAATACTTTTATTTTACTCTTAGATACAGTATATATATATTTTAGTAAATACACACGGTGTATTATATCAGATTTATCGTAAATGTATAAATTCTATAATGTATTGCTTGTATTGCTCTCTATTTTATTCTGTACTTTGTAGAGAGGTTAAATAAATTCGAGTTTATCACGTCAATTTTGGAATATCCCAGAATTATTAAAACCAGTAATATTTTACATATTAATAATACTTAAAACTATTTTATTCTATATCAGATATACAGTATTGTAAATTTTAATAAAAATTTTTATCAGAAACTTTTATCGTTATTTTCTACAAGATCTTTGATATAGATCTACGTATACTATACCATAAAATTTTTTAAAATTTATTACGTATCGTTATATATTTATTAGTCAATTTCAATACGTATCAGCCACAACAATAATTAACCAGTTTAAACATGATTTTAGAACTAGTTATCTAAAATTATACTAGCTTGAGAAAGCTTAGCTCCAAGCCATGGTTATCGTTATACTGTTTTTGATCGTTAGTTAATTCAATATTTACGGATATGGCTATACGCATTAACATGCGTGATGACGTATAGATTAGCATTAGTTTCAACTTTGAGAAAAAAAAAAAATAGATTAAAATAAAAAGCATAAAACATTTCTTTTGTATCGCTTAAAAAGCTCAATTAGATTCTGACGCAAGTTTATTATGTAAATTCAATATGTTTGGCGAAAATAAATACAGGTTATTGTTCTGAACCATTTAGTTCGTTATAGTAAGGGTTTTCACTATATAGAGGTTCAGTATAGAGCGACCATATATATACATGTTTTTAACTACGCATATATATAGATATATAGATATATAGATATATATATAATACATATAATAGACTGACTATATAATCACATATAAAAATTGACGTTATATGAATTAAACACTAAATAATTACAAAATAGATGTCACAATTAAATCAACTAGTGGATTCCCGAAAACTTGATCTAGACGCTCTAGGGTCTCCACTAATCATAGTTTCATCGCTACTACTCATAGTCGACGTTCTCGACGCTCTATTTACATTATTGGCAGCTTCTGATATTGAAGCATTAAAGATTCTACAATCAAATTTAGCAGGGTTTCGATTCTTTCAGGCTCCATTCTCTCAAACTGCTTTGACCAGAATCTTTTGGACTGCAACTTTAAATATTTTCATAGAAGATATACCTCGAGTAGTTATTCAGGTATAATGATTGTTCCTTTATTCATTGTCATATGTAATATACATAGATTTATCTCATTAACAAAAGAATCAATTTAAAATATTACCAGACCATTTACTTTATATATACTGTACAATACGATCTTATTCCCTTGCTTAGTTTATTGTCCTCATGTATAACTCTTTTGGTTAACATAATTGGCCGTGTATATGAAGCAATTTACAGAATCCGTCACGGCACCCCAAGTCAACAAAAATCAGATGACGAAGATGACGACACTGGAGGTTCTAAAAAGAATATGGATGTTAAAAGAAAAAGCAGAGGTGGGAAAGATGATGTTGAATATAATAAGTATAAGATTCCTGGTGATAATTACGCAAAAGATGATTACTCTTGGACCGCTGATAATGCAAATAGAGCGTCGAGAACGTCGACTATGAGTAGTAGCGATGAAACTATGATTAGTGGAGACCCTAGAGCGTCTAGAT